CGAGAAAAATATGTTTGTCTTTTATGATCTAGAAGAAACTAAAAATTTTAACTAAAATACTCTCCACAGACGGCGCCAAATTGTTTGACCAAAGAGTGGTGAGCCTTTTAGTTAAACTAATTAATGATGAAATGAAGGATGAATCTTAGTTAAAAATAATAAATTCTAGATCAAATATTGTAGAAAATCGGTAAGATGAATGATGTGTGACATCGTTAACTAGCACGTTTGTATTCAATGAATGCTAGTAAATATGATAACATAAACATGCAATAAATGTAGATAATGGCAATAAATGTAATAAGAAAGAATCTACCACCCAATTATTGTATGATTTTGATGGTTCTTTCTCCTGACAGCAACGTGGAAAGAAGAGAAGTGAAGATGGTTATGGAATCTTTGGATATTGTGAACAAAGATCAAATAACGTGCGCTTGAATAAGATAATCAATGAACAAGATAACTTTGGTATATTCTCTCAAGTCAACATTTTTTACATTGTGTTTCTTATCAGAAAGTGATGATCCCCCTATTATTCTTTATCTCTTCCTATTTATAAGGGGTATTTCCAAGAAACATTAAAAAGTACAAAATAAGGAATATCCAAAGGAATATTCCTTGTATTCATTCCCAAATCTATCCTACCGTTATTTCTTTACCCCAGTTGCCCGTCCTCGACTACAATCCTTTTGAAGACGATTTTTCGCTATTACGCCGTGGTCGACCCCATCTTCGATCCTGTATCTGTCATTACTGAGTCGCTAAACTTAGACCAATACAGGTATATTTGCTCTTGAACGTGTAAATTTTGTTGACAATCACTAACTCTTGTTCAATCTTGTGTTATATTAAGTACTCTGTAATTTAAAATTGACAGATTATAAAATAAAATAAAATGAAGGCACTATCTTCTTAAATTTATTATTAAAAACAAAAAACTTATTATGCTTGTTTCTCTCTTGGGTAAATAAATTTTATAAGTTTCAACAATGATCTTAAATTAATATACTATAACAGTTAAGTTTATAATTAAATATTTATAATTATTTAATAAATTTTTTAATACGAATTTAGAACATAAAAAAATTGCTGCGTACATATAAATCCATAAGTAATATTGTAGATTCGCACTTACGTTTTTAATTGGTTTGCAATTAATTAAACAATTTATAGATGAAAATGAATAGTACAAATTTGGAAAGTTGACAAAAGATGGGCATTTGGATTGGCCTGCCATTGATCTATTCTTGTCCTTTTATTTGCTGTCGTTTTGTGTCCGAAAGCCGCCAAAAACCACCGGATTAAGGATGTCTAAAACCTGACACGTGTTCGCCTAAAATTAGATTCTTTCGCGTGGTGCCACATTACGTGGATCAATGTACAACCCAATCTACTTGCCTTTAATTGACTTTCACTTTTACCAAACTACCCCTTGTTATACAAAAATGTTTTCGTGAAGAATTGGGACAGAATGGGATCGGTTGGTTGGAAACAAGTTATTCTAAATTAATTATACCGAGATTAGTTATTTTAATTTTTTATAAGGATAAAAATAATACTATAATCTCAGAATATCTAATTCTGAAATTAGTTATACTGTGATTTTATTCCAACTAAATAATGGATAAACTCATCTTAAATTTAATTCCGAAATTAATTATTTTTTATTTCTCGTGCCAAATGAGTCCTTATAGCATATTTGATCAAGCTTCTAAAAATTAGCTTATTTTGAAAAGTGCTTTTCAAAAAGTACTTTTGATGAAAAATAATTTATATTTGGTTAATCAATTAAAAAGTATTTTTCAACAGTAATTAATGTTAGGCCTTTAAGAAGTATTTTTATGTGTATTTTCTCAAAAGTACTTTTGGAAAAAAGTTACATATTTGAGCTTCTCAAAAGTAGCTTTTGTTTTTACTCAAAAACACTTTTTCCTCTTAAAAGTTTAACCAAATACCTCAACTTTCAAAAAACTAATTTTTTTTTTGGCAAAAGAACACTTTTGAACTTGGAGAAGCTTGACTAAACATGCTATTAATGTGTTGTTTGGTTATCGGGATTATGTACCAATATTAATATGCAATTATATCTATTTATTTTTTAATTGCAGTTGTATTTATCTACTCCCTCCGACCTACAATAAGTGACCTTTTGGTCTTTGGCACACCCCTTGAAAAAGTATCAATTCCTAGAAAAGAAAAGGTATTTTGACTAAATTATCCTAAATGAAAATTTTACATATTGTACACTTGACATATTGAGATATATAAATAAAGACAAATATTGAGAAAAAAAAATTAATTCTTTCTTAATTGAACAAAAGATCACTTGTTTTGGACCAAACAAAAAAAGTCTAAACGTCACTTATTATAAATAGAAAGGAGTACCATTTAATTATTTCATACAAAAAGTGAGATTAAAATTAAAATTTGCTATAACATTATTTTGAAGCAAATGACCCCCAACTACTTCCTCCATTTCATTTGATGGATTTTGTGATGAAAGTAAGAAGTAGTATTAAATTTTATAAATAAAAAAAAGTATAATGTGATCAAATTATACTTTAATTAATGTTTTCCTAAGCGTGCGAACATATTCTCTTTTGGGTGAAAATAGCACGGGCTAGCCAGTTTTCGGACTGATAATTAAAAAATAGCCAGTATTTGCAAAGTCATTGAAAAATAGTCATTATTTTGCTGCAACACGGAAAGTTCCAACATAATATGCTGGAGATTGGTGCACCTGTATATGAACTTTCAGCATATTATGCTGGAACTCCAACACACGAAAAGTTCCAGCATAATATACTGGAGATTGGAGTACTTGTGTATGAACTTCTAGTATATTAGATTGGAAGTCCAATATAATTATACTGGAATATTTATGGATTTTGAACAGTATTTTTGTTCAGATTATCTTTACATAAAAAGTGTGGCTAAATATCAATTATTTTTGAAACTATGACTATTTTTCAATTATCACTTGTAAATCTGGCTATTTTTGAATTTCTCTCCTCTATTGGTAAATCAGTCCGATGAATGAATAACCAATTAATAACCTCACCATTAGGAACATTAATCAAATCTACATTTCCAAAACCCACTCCAAAGTTTAGCGCGTTCATTTCACATACCCAGATGGGAGAAGTAAGCTATTGCCATTTAAGAAACATGTCGGGCAACAGAAGTGCAAGCGCGTGATGGAGTACATTGAACAGTGGTGGGGCGGCTAAGAACTGTGGTTAAGGGAGCTAATACTAGAGTTACAGCAGAGTGTACAAAGCTGATAATGACAGTGAAGGAAATAACTTTGTTTTTGAGTGGACCAAGTTGGACCTATTCAAGTAGAAGAAGAAGAAGTGCTAAAAAAACAAAACTCAAAATGGTTAAAGGTTTGAATATTGATGATGCTTTAATGGGTTCCTTATTGGGAGCTAGCATCTTTTATATTTGGACCTTTCTTAATTTTAATTCTTTAAGTACTGAGAAAATGACAAAAATTATGTATTCCTTTCATTTTAATTTATATGAGATAGTTTGACTCGTAACGAAATTTATGCAATTTTCTTTTTAAATTTAAATCTTAAAATCTTGAATGGTAAAAGTTTTGTGGGTTATATCATTTGTGTAACTATAGAAACTTCTTATTAAGAGTAAAATAAATAAAATAAAAAAGTTTAAAGTTAAATTATTCTCAAATATAAAATTAAATTATTATTTTTAAACATACTAATAAGAAAAGTTTGTCACATAAACTAAAACGAAGATAATAATAATGCATTCATTTCCTTTTATGCTTCTAAGTTTGATTATACTCAATTGGTTCGTAGGCCATTACAACTTTTTTTTTTTTAAAAGTAAAACCTCCCAAGACATCTTAGTTTTATATGTAAGAGATGTGAAAATAAAACGCGAGATTTGCTTTCTTCTATTCAAATGTTAAAAAATTATGTTGTACCCTTTCCTCGTTTGATTGGAGATAAAGTGTGAAAAATATAATGGAAACTTTTGAATCTTGCGATCGTAAGCTAACAGCATAACAAAAATACCTTATAAATCTTATGGTCTTAAATATATCATATCATTCCTATAAAAAAGTATTACTAAAGATAAAATGAGAATACAGGAATTAGAACTTTTGAAATGTACAAAGATGAAATTCTTTCTTGAAACTGATTAAAAAAGATAATAAAACACATAAATTTAAATGTAGGGAATAATTACGTCTTTCAATTTTATGATTTTATTTAACTAATCACAAAGTACAACATCTTAATTAACATTTTATATAGCAATAATAATAATAATGATACAATGAATATGACTAATTTAATAAAAAAGAACATCACATCATTTAACAATTGCATTGTCTCAATTAAATCTTAAAGGTTCAAAACATGCCCCTTCTGTTTCATTTCATAGGAGACTAATCAAAACGAAGTCAAAAATTTTAATTCCAAGTTCTAAAATAAATTAATGAACTTGAAATTTTAAAATTCTTAAAAAAATTTAAAATCAAATAGTGACAAACATTTTAAACAACAAAAAAGGATAATTCGAATTAATAAAGAGAGCAAGCGTTAGTGGATAATATTATTCGGTATGGTGGAAAATAGTTGAAGTATTCGCAAGCTAACTCAGATACTTGATTTAGTGGTCAATGAAGATGGTTAAAACCATGAGGTCAGGTTCAATTCCAAGAGAAGACGAAAAATACTAGTGATTTCTTCCGATCTATGTAAGTCTTAATAGATAGAGCTATATGATACTTATTGTTGATGGAGGTAGTAAATACCCAATAAAATTGATGTGCGCAAACTAACGTAGACACAACAATTATAGGAAAAAAATACTACGATGATTTTAAAAAAAATTAAGTAGGGAGAATATAATACTAGTAAATTGGTGTCACATATTTGATGTCCTTAAATAGAAAAAGAATGAATAAATTAATAGATGAAACAATTGTTTAGTTTACTGTACACATCATAGCCAGGACGAAAGATGCACAGAGATTCTTATAACCCATCACTTAAATTACACGGCAAAAAAAGGAGATTTCTTTTTAGAGAGAGAGAGAGGAGAGAGAGAGAGTTTGAAGGAAGGAGACATGCTTGATTTCAACCCAACAAGAAACAGCACTTGTGTTTATTTCTTACTATCTTATTAACTTTACCAGATTCCACAGGTCCTTAAAATTCTCTCCATTCACTTCTCTTTCTTCTTTGCTTTTTCTATTTTTGTATTTTCTCATGTACTATTTCATTTTGCTGTTGATTTTTCAAAATTTCCTTTATTGGGTATTGTGTATTATGCTGGTTTGGTTAGATAAAGAATGTTCTAGTGAAAATCTTGAATGCATGTTGACTTTAGAGTCAATGGCATGTCTTTTGTAAGATAATTTTGGGTAAAGTTGCTATTTTTATTGGTTTTCTGTATATTTTCTGTTTATGGGTTGTGATAGGAAACTGTATTTTTTCTTCTGGTAGTAATATTTGTAGATTGTGTAGTCGTTGATGCAATAAAGATCTGAAAATTTTGTTGACTTTTTTCACGATCTTGTGTTCTTGTTCTGATCTAGTGTTTTTCTCCTTCTGTTTTTCTTGGATTATGAGAATTGGTTTCTGATAAAATAGCATTTTGATCAAGTCATGATCTTCAGGGTATAAGTTTCTATTGATGTTAGAACAAGATGCATGTGGTTTTTTTTTGGTTTAATTTCTTTTTATTAATATACTAAGCTATTCTAAAAAAGAAAATTTACAAAATAGACCAAAATTTTTAGTAAAACAAATGGGTTGCCTCCCACCAAGCACCGCATTTAACGTCGTGGCNTTTATACGTCACTAGAAAATATAAAGAACTTTTTGTATTTTTTAGTTTTATTTTGTATAATATTGGTCTGGGATGAGTTTATATGAAGTAACATGGTCAGATGGGCGGATGCAACATGGTAATCTTGGGTTCATCTGAATCCAGTACTTGGGACGTGGATTATAAATTTATAAGTAAAAATTCATTAAAATTACAACAAATAGTAGGTATGAACCCATAATTTTAAAAATACAATGAATTCAATGCTAAAAACCTTAGAGGTTCAACCCATAGAGTTTAAATCTTGGATCCGCCTTTGCATGGTCAGTGAGGAATCATATAGTCGACCCCTGTTTGTTTGGACTGAGGCTTAGTTGTTGTCATTGTTGTTTTTGTAATTGGTGTAGCTGATTCCATTTTAGGTGGTCATTTTGCTATTTGTTCCTATCCTTTATGTTAGGGTCTATATCTATGAATGGACTATATTAGGTTGGTGAACTACTTTTGTTAATACGTTTTTAGGGTCTATATTTTGTGTAAATGTCAGACACAAAATTCTTGTCTACTCTGTATGGGGTGCTCTGCTCATCAACCATGGTACTACTAATTTAATAAAATTTTCATGCTTAAATGTATTAGCATTGCATAAGCCTGTTGTCCTTGTGTAGTTTATCGTCTTTTGGAGTTCATATTGCAGTTCTGTACTTCCTTTCCCAATTAAGACCTTACAGTTCCTTTCTTGGCGATCTTTTGCACATGGTATTAAATTGTTCCATGACAATACGTGGGACTATGTCCACTGGTTCCCCTGTCAACTCATCTCGCTAATCCATCTTTTTATATCGACGTGCTTAATAGCAGAATGGGGAGGTAGTTGTTCATGTAACAGGTCGATGACATTTTAAATTACTGCAGTTCTTGATAGAGTATCTGTATATTCGTCTTTGCAATATAAGGGTGTGCAGTTCTGATAGCATGTCTTCAGTAAATTTGGACTTGGTATGTCTTATGCCATGTTAATCTTCTTTGCTTAGTATCCTTGAGGATTTAGCTCTATACTCTTGAAGCATAGTCTGGAAATCTGTCACTAATCTTCATTATGGATAAGTAAATGGCTGTACTATACTAGTATAATTTTACCAAAGAAAAGCTTAGAGCTTACATCTGTTTTATGCATCATTTTGCTGTCAATAGCTAATCATGGTGGAGTTCCGATGAACAAGAAACTTCACATAAATTTTTTGCCTCAGAAGGTGGTATTTCCGTCTCCTTGCTGTCAGGAGATGAAGTCTTTGGATCCAAACTTACAAGGCGAGACATTGCGGTTGACACATTCAACTATTAACTCCCAAGACGAAATGACTACCTCGGAGAAAACAAATTCTCAAGATCAATGTGCCTCCTCCGAATACGGTACACATACTTTAAAGATTGTTAAACTCTTATTGCAACTCCCTTCTACATATCATTTAATCTTCACTAGTTCAGTTTAATATAATGACCGAGAACTGTATAACTCAAATTACAATAATGAATGAATTCCTGGTGTTTTTTTTTTGTGTGTAGAGACACATCTCGATTGGTACAGGTGATCCTTGCTTATACCACATTATTTCTTCTTAACAAGTTAATGAGTTTCTTAAATATATAATAGCAAAAATGTAATTTGTCAATAGGGCAAGTTTTCTTTCTGATGTATAAGTAGCCTCTTAGAATTTCTGTCAACAGACTAACTTTTTACTTGACGAAGTTCTTTTGCTTATAACGATGATTATCTTACATCTTGCTTTTGATTTGCCAGTTCATGATGAAAGATATGGAAGAGATATGCAAGCTCAAATAAAGCCTGCTCTTTTTTCGTCGCAAAATGAAGTGGCCCATTCAACAGTATGTTTCTAGAGACTTTTGCTTTAGCTTTTGCCATAATCTAATTTATCAATTTTTACATTGCAGGGTTTCTCTCCTATTGGTTACTCTGATCCCTATATGAGTGGCTTATATACTGCTTATGGACCTCAAGCTTTTGTGGTACACGGCTTTCATTTTTGTCGCTTTTATTGTTCGCTTTGAAGTTTCCTCTTTATATCTACAAAGATGAGATGTTTGCATAATTTCTAGTATACATGACTTGATTGCATATATGTTTGACCTTTTTCTTCTTTGACTTAAATCTCAAAAATGTTACGGATTTGGTACAAGTAATTTTGGGATACACCGGGTGCAATATTTTGTTGAGTCACGCGCTATAAATATTGAATAGAACTCTGTCATTATAGATGTAGTTGTCACTAAGTTTGCAATTTGCAAAGGAGATGGATAACAGTATCACATATTGACTCCTAATTCTCTCGTAAAAGTTCTAATTTTGATATTTGGTCAATGCAGCCACAAATGATGGGGATAGCGCCTACCCGCGTCCCACTCCCCTTAGATCTTGCAGAGGATGGACCAATTTATGTAAATGCAAAACAGTACCATGGGATCATGAGGCGGAGACAGATACGTGCTAAGCTTGAGGCTCAGAACAAACTTGTCAAAAATAGAAAGGTATTTGGATACTTTCTGCTCTTCCCCGGTTTTTCTAGTTCATTAAGCTCACAACCCTGTCTCATTTCATTTAATGAACTGCAGTATTTACTCGCACGAAATGAAGAAAAAGATGATAAACAGATTAAAAGTAGCAAAATGGTGGCAATTCTGAACTATCTTATCCTTTAGTATTAACCCGTGCTTAACAATGTTTCCTTAATAACAAATAAACAGAGGAATTTTTCATCAAGAAACAAAGCATGCTATATGTATTTCTGCATAAAATGACAGTAGTCAACATACTTGGTATTTTATAGCAGGACATTCTGATATTAACAAACTTTCATCAGCCCGTCTAACGGTTAACAAATAGCTATTTGTACTTACTCTTCAATGTATTTGCATGAGCATAAGGACTTTTCAAATCAAAGTCCTCTCTTTCACTAAAATTTTGATTCATGTTTATGAAGCGCTAGTTGTACAGGCAAGTGAAAAGCATATTGTAATTAACCCATGCGATATTCCGAGGACAATCAATCTGCTGCAATTTTTTTCTCATGCAACTACACACACACACACACACACACACATATTTAATGAAATAAGGTGTTCCATTAGCAAAAGGCATCAAGAAGATGCAAAGTTACAAAATTATTGAAATGCAGATATAATAAGAATTGCAAATCCCTTTACAATATCAATCTAAGACATGCAATTATATTTAGGAACCCGCAATATGTGATCAGGCATTGTATCATTACATAAGTGTTTTTCTGTGGGGAAGTCATGATTCCCTTTGTCTCTATTTACTGTGGTTCTTCGATAATTGTCTGCTGTCGTATTCAAGTAGGGTGATTCGTCATAACGATCATCTATGGTAAAAGAAACAGGCAAATATGCTGGTTGGAGAGATTTAAGGAAAGGAAAAAAATGAAATTGGCAACTTCTTCCTTTGGTGGGGGGATTGTAGCTACTAGTGATTTTGCATTTCCATATTTTATGGAAGGGAATGGAACAATATAAACTGTTCAAGCTGGTCACCAGTAACCAAACAGGATATGATAAGCAACTCAAGTAGGGTGACTACCATTAGGAAATAGGAAGTACAGGGTATTCCAAAAACGGGAAAGGGCCAAAGATACCCCTGTACTATGAGAAAAGGTTTAATTATATCCTTTATACTTTGGGTCCAACTATACCCCTGTAGTAATACTATTGGTTCAAATATACCCTTCTGTTAAGTTTGTCCAAGGTGGACATCCAATCCTATGTGGCACTGACATTTGATGAGGTGGATGCCACATGGCATGCCACCTCAGTGCTCCTAATTAAATGAAATACAATATTTTTCATGGTAGCGGTAATGGTGGCAATGGTGGTGGAGGGTAAGAAAATTTTAGTGGTGGAAAAAATAGGAGGAGGTGTAAAATGTGTTAGGGCGCTGAGGTGGCAAGCCATGTGTCATCCACCTCATCAAATGTCAGTGCCACGTAGGATTGGATGCCACTTTGAACAAACTTAACGAAAAAGGGGTATATTTGAACCGATAGTATAATGACAGGGGTATATTTAGACTCAAAGTATAATGAGGGGTACATATAAACCTTTTCTGATAGTACAGGGGTATATTTAGCCCTTTTCCGATCCAAAAAAATAGGCTTCTAAAATTTGTTGGCTTTTACTTTTATCATTCTTCAAGATGAATTTGGGGTAAGCTTATTCTTCTGATCTTTTATTGCATGCAGCCATATCTTCACGAGTCACGGCATCTTCATGCAGTGAATAGAGTTAGAGGTTCCGGAGGACGTTTTCTTAGCTCAAAGAAAGTGCATCAATCTGATCCAAATAGTTACCCCACTAACTCAGCTTCTTCTCAAGACTCAGTTGAGCGCGAAAATTCAACTTCTGCTTTCTCAAGTGTCCGGAAAGATGTCAACAACGGCGTCAGCTTCCAGCAGCAACCTGATCACAGGGCCTTTGGTGTATCCTCTCACATGGCGATTACCATGCAAGGCAATGGGACTCAGCAACGTGCTCCAGTTGTCCGGTGATAACTTCTAACTGAACAAAGGTAGTCACCGGCAGGCAAATCATCCTTGGCTTTATCCTTTCTATTAAGTATCTCTGGTTTTTGTAAGTGTCAAATGGATTTCCACTGTTGTAATAGTGAATTTGGTTTGCTAATCCTAGATTTGAACCTAGATTATGAAAAGAAAGCTTTTTGTTGTGAATTAGTGATCTGTTTTGCTGCACGTCTGCACCTAGCATGGAATGGTGTATGCAGTGGAAGTTGTTAATGAAACTGAAAAGAAAAGAAACAAAATGTTGCGGTGTATTGAGTGGAACAAGATGTTGATGTATAATGCCAAATTTAATAAGAAAAAGTTGTGCAATGTGTTCAGTGGACTTTCTTGAATCTGAGGTAGCTTGAAAAGTGTTTTGGAACTACTTAGAGAGGATGTAAAACATTTTCCTTGGACTGTATTAGTATCTATGAACCCACACATTACTTGGATTGTAATTTGTTGGTCAGTGGCGGAGCTAGAATTTGAACTTTCTGAATTCTAAATTCTAGGATACTGACATTAGGAGTTAGTAAAGGTTTGAACTAAAACTGCTGAGTGTGGCCGAACCCGATACATAACCTTCTAGCTCCGCCCCTGGTGTTGGTGCTTTCTATAAGATGGATGATGAATCATCTATGTATTGAAGGTAACTAATGGTGGATCCAACAATGGGTTCGCGCGTTTGGCAAAACCTTGTGTTTTAACATCAAATCTTATATATATGTACAATAAAAAGTATAAATAGAGTTAAATATACATCTGAGAACCCACTTTCTCCAGTATAAATTTGAGACCCACAAGGTGAGCAAGGGTGAGGTCAGGACAGATTGGTTGTTTTGACAGTTGAAAAATATACTCAGAATGACTAGCATATTGAGAACAACATCAATGTAATAAAGGGGTAACTGACCTTTAGCATAATTGATAGAAATCTAATACAGCAAGGAAATAAGGTGTGTGATTGCACTTCAAGAGGAAAACTGATGCTTTTCTAAGATATTATAATTATTACTACTCTTCAACTGCCAATAAACTACATGTTTCTCCTGCTACATGGGGATAAATCAGTCAAATACTAGATGACAATTCACTGATACAACTTCTGAAGTTCATCCTTGAATTTAGCCTTCAGGGGTTCGCGCTTCAATTTGAGAGCTGCAGTAACTAATCCGCACTCAGGAGTCCATGGCTCGGGTATCAACTTGATCTTTGCTGGAATCTCAAACTTGTCTAATCTAGCAGCTTTTCCTACCTGCATTTCAAGTAACATCACCTATACATTCATCACTCTATTGTTCAAAACTAGTCGCAAATTATTTCCGTGAAAATTAGAGATACTGTGCTTCTGGCAAAAAGATACAACCCATTCACTGTCTGCAATGACAATGGTAGCATTCTTCAATTACGTTTTCTGGGATGTTATGTCTTATGATAGCGTCGAGTTATCGTATGTAGAGCTTAACACCGAGCTGTCAGAGGCCTATATACAAGCGAGGTTCATTCACAGTAGGATCGTCGTGATTATAATTGGCATGAAAAAGGAGACAAACCTTTGAAAGCGATTGCTGGACCTCATTGACTGCTTCGACTTTGTTGCACAGATCGGAAAAAGCTCTGTGCTCGATACCATTTTCTTGCGCCCATTTCTCAAGCACCTTTCGTGATGGAACAACTAGTGCCACACAATAATTGTAGAAGGGGTCTGCATAGACCATTATGTTATCGACATAATTGCTTGATAAAAGTGCTGCCTCAACCTGAAATGAACATTAATTCATCAAACTATTGCCAGAAATCAAGACTTAAAGAGGAGAACAAATTCGGTAAGACAAATTTGAAGCAAGAAATACCAAACTCAGATCAGACGCCAAAATAACAGAAAGAAAATCCCAGTAAATATAATATAAAGTTTTTATAATGCCCGCTACTGCCATTGTATAATACACAGTTGCATTGAGCGAGCATCCAAAATAAAAAAATATACATCCACCACCAAAATGAACTCGGAAGTCACAGTCAGATGCACTAAATCAAACCAGATTATGTTCATAGTAGCACCAGGCAAAGCATTAAATGTATATTTCTGGAAAATGACGTGATGAAGGGAAAAAGAGAATGGTGAATGCCGACCTATCCAAAATATATAAATGAAAAAGTAAATACCTTTCCAAGTGAGATATACTCCCCGTGCTGAAGTTTCACAATATCTTTCTTTCTATCAATGATTTCAAGGCATCCATCAGGATGAAACCTTCCAATATCACCAGTGTAGAACCAACGCATGCCCCTCTCATCAACCTGCATCAGAGACAATAACGACATAAACAGGCTTGTGTTATAACAAATTCATTCCATTTACACAAGGAAAATCTTAGTACTACCTTGTACACCTCATTAGTTTTGCCATCATTGTTGAAGTAACCAGCAGAAACACTGTTCCCACCAACAACTACTTCTCCCCGAGGCATCGGCTTATCAACAATTCTGTAGCCTCCTTCTTCCCAAGAAATAAGCTGTATTGTTAAACACAGGACATACTAACCTCAGGAAAAATTTATGATATTATCCTTAATTCTTAGAATGTGATAAACACAAGGGTGAGAAGACTGGTCAGGCTTTTGTTGAGTAAAACTCATAAGCTTTAAAAAGGGAAATGTTTGACACTTGCTAATGCAGTTTAGGCAACAGATCGATTTCAAACAGGAAGCTGAATTCTCTTATGTATGAGAAATTAATTGACCTGTTGGTATTACTCTTCTAAGTAAATGAACAGTAATTTCCCTGGAGTCAGATTATTTTGTCCACTGCATGAAATTCCACCAAATGTATCTACTCAGAACAACTTCGTTTAATAGTTAGAACATAGATCTTTTAACAAATGATTGAATGTAGCAGATGGTCTCAAAGGAATTCTATAGACTGGTTATGAATCGGACAATCCCAGATTATCCATACGTGAGATGTTATCAATCATTTTACCAAGAAGTACCCACCATACCTTTATATAGGAACAAGGAAGAGGTGGACCAACACGACCAACAGAAGGATCATCCGACTCGGAAAAGGCAGCTCCTGCAAATGTCTCTGTCAAGCCATATCCCTGACCAATAGGAGCTCTGCAGCAAATGATTATAAAAATTTAAGCAGCCCATCCAGAGAGTAGTGATGAAAAAAAGGAACATATTCACTCTGATATTACAAGTAAACTGTATTCAGAACAATTTCCTAATGTCAAGAAAACGGAAAAGTTACCCCATACAAATGTTGATAAATCTTTGTGTATCTCCTGACAAAGGAGCACCACCGCAAAGCATGAAACGGATATCTCCTCCGAGTACTGATCGTATCTTTTTAAAAACAATTACCTCCCATAATCGTTTCTCTAGACCCCATGCTCCAAACCAGCTACCTTCCATAGCGGCCAATTGGCGCTTAAAGGCAATATTGAAAAGTTTCTTGGCAGATCCTCCCTTCTCCTCCACCTAGATTGAGAAAAACATAACCAAGAGATTAGTACTTCATTTGAGGCCCTATACTCCAACTAAAATATGCTGCAGCTCAAACCTTCTTTATAACACCATCCCTAACACGATCCAAAATGGCTGGAACGGCGGCCATTAAAGTAGGCTTTAAAGCGGAGGCATCTCCCTGTGTCCCTTTCATGATTTTATTTGATGTATCTGTCATCGTCAGAGGCGAGCCATAACCAATTGATGCACCAGCAGTCAACATAACAGTCTGCAGGACCAGAATCGCTCAGAACTAAAACAATTTGCATTGCTGCATAAGGACTCAAGGAAACAAAAACAAAACAATTTTCATTGCTACATAAGGACTCAAGGAAACAAAAACGATATATAAACTCTGAAGATTACCTCAGCAGCTAACTCGAAAACATGAGCTAAAGGTAGGTATGCCAAATAGACATCACTGCTTCTAAGTTTTGGAATAACAGTCGTAACTGCAGCTGCAGTGGCTACGATATTGCCATGAGTTATCATGACACCCTAAAACATAAAAAAAGAGCTTAATTGAGAACACTTCAAGCAAACTTTTTTTAACAAACAAAGAGGTTAAAAAAATTAAGTTTGATTAAACTCAAAGCCAAAAGAGAACAAGTATTGAATTTTTTTTCACTGAGGAAAAATTATTGCATTGGAGATAGACATCTAGCGTACAAGACTTATGAGATTGCATTATGGCAAAAGTTAATGCCCATTTTCATTTTTCTCACCCGGTTGAAGCTTTTTTAGCGTAAATTAAGGGGATTGGAAGAAGAAACATTTTCCAGGACTAGGGTTGAACTTTTCCTAAGGGAAAAAGCCAAGTGTGTGCCATGACTACTTTGTCTTTGAACAGGCAAAATGCTGCTATAGAATCCGCTATAACAAAGTAGAATTAAGCTTTGTTGTCCTAACAAAAGTTAGAAAAGAAAGGAACTCGCTTTTTTCCAGCCATGAGTTCTCGCTTTTAGTGGGAATTCAAGTGAAATCTAGTATAGGGATTTTAAGAAAACACCTTAGCGATCAATGGTTAAAGATGGGTATAACGAAATACTGTTTGGGTCCTGCAAAAGTGATCAGACATCTCCATCTATACATCTTTACGGAATCAACTCTATTAATCGCATTAACCACCGAGCTTTTACCCGTGGAGCCAAGATTGATGAGCCATATTTTATTGTTCAACTTCAGCCTTATAATCATTAAATAACAGAAAAGATCTGGCCATGTGAAAAAGCCCTGATACTCTATCCCATTGAGGAATCGAGAAGATATTTGGTTGTGTTTCTCCTGCATAGCTTAAAGTTAAATATCATATCAGAAGGAAAAATTAAAAGCAAGTTGCACCATACCTTAGGCATTCCTGTGCTGCCACTTGTATACATGATCACCGCAATATCCTTCTTTATAGGCAGTATTGGCTGAATAGGACTACTTTTACCCAGTTTTTCAACTTCACAGAAAGACGTAACCTTCCAGTTGTCGGTATTCATAGAAATGCTTGAATCTATTGCAGTCTCATTGTCTTCAAGATATATGACATTCTTGATGGTTTTCAGGCTAGAACCAATTGCAGCCAATTTTTTAAGTTGCTTGGCGTCACAAATCAATGTGGATGCTTGAGTCTGTCAATGACCACAATTGAATTCAATTCATCACGTCACTGGCACCTCGTGTTAATCTAGGAAAAAAAAATTTTAAATTGGCGCACCTCATTTAACGAGTGTATAAGTGCATCATCTCCCAAAGAAGCATAAATAGTAACAACAGTGATATTCTGGCGGAAGCATCCCTGAAGACAATAATTTCACCTATTAAAACTTATTGGACTCCTGCAGTGATGAGATAACGAACAACTATAGTAATTATTTCAATATTAAATGGGATTAACTTGAATACCTGAAAGGCGATGAGCCACTCCGCACGAGTTTCAGAGAATATAGCAGCACGAGTCTCCACATCGTGACCCAAATTAACTAGTCCAGAGGCAAAGTTGCAAACACGATCAAATGTTTGCCCATAAGTCTCCCACTGATACTCGCCCAAGTGAAGTTTCTCAAACTTCCTTCCGTCCCTCGCCGTTACAAAGTCCCGATTAACTAGTTTTCTAGTTCCAAGACAGCGCTTACTCGAATGCTTTTTACAGGACTTCTCAAATAGAGCTGCCATAGTTGTAGCCCCTTCCCATGGAACTTCAACTAATTTGGCCGATTTAGCGTTGCGCATCGCTAAACCTGCCTCGCCACCAACTTGAACAGGAACTCCTCTCTGTTTTGCCTTTTTCTTCCCCATAAGTACCAATGAGAGGAATAAAGGTATTACAATCGCAATTACAAAAGCACCAACAAACCCAAATGACCCTTGGTCTTTGAAGAAGGAGACATAACTATTGCTGGCCATTCTATCCACCACATTCATATTTGGATTACTTCCTTCAAAACCTTCCATTTTATATGCTTATACGGTTCTACGCTTACAGAATAATCTTCAAAATAGAACAAAGAGATACCTAAGACATAATACATAAATCAGTACCATAGTTCACTGTCTGCATGCAACTAAGAGCAATACAAATGTGGCATTTCGGACAAAAAGGCATTCCCCAATGACATGAACCAATTAATGCAATTAGTGTGGCATTCTCTGCCCAAAGAAATACATCAAATGAATGACCAATGAGCTAAAACACAAAACAAACAAAGATCTGAGCCTTATAAGCAAAAATTCACGTCACAGGTCCTCCACCAAGTTCCGAACCGTGTGCCACCAGCCCTTTGGAGATTTCTTGATTATCAAAAAGAAAGTAATATCTCATAAGACGAGCATCATGAACACTTTCAAGTGCTTAAATGAGTAACGACCCATTAAGCAAAATCCTCAGCCTCACTAATTTAAACCCTTTTCAGTTTTTAAAGATATAAAAAGCAAAAGGATAGCATCGGGACGCGGGAAGAACAAACACCATCAACCGTTAACATGAATATTTCTGTAATTTAGAAGATAAACAAAGTTGAAGCTTCCACTATGACTTGACTATTCCCAAAACTCTACATTATCCCTTAATAAAAGCATGGGAACTAGAAGACACAAAAACATAAAATGTTCTCAACTAAACCCGTTGATGACAAAAATGAAACACTGAAATATCATCAAAACAATATAACACATATACAAACAACTATGGCTCGTTCCTAAACAAGTTGGAGTCGGCTATATAAATCCTCAGTGACCATGTTTACCCAATTAATTCATACAAAAATAAACATAGAAATAAAAGGTACTAGAAGTTCTCTATATTTAACTAACATAAAACACCATAAAAACAACATATACTTAAACTAAACATCGCACCCACATAACTTCACAACACATTTTATTTGTTTAAAATTCATGGATTAACTTTGAACATAAGAAAATGATCATCTATAATATATAGTGAAATTGGAAAATTCACGAAAAAGTTACCTTGAGGAGACTTTTATGAATGTGTAAAATTGAAATAAAGCTTTTTTTTTTTTTTTGTGTGTGCTTTTGTTGGTTTTTGAAGGTTAAGTCATGCAAAATGAGGAAAGTTGATGAAAAGTTTTCAGTTTCCAGAAGAATGGATTTATTCAGTTTGCTGTTGAAATATATATAAGGGTGGATTTGCACGAAACTCTGTGTATTTACGTTATAACGCCGATACTTTTGAGTATTGCAAATTCACTCCCGAATTTTGTAGAAGTCTTTCCAATTATTCTGTTTCTTGCTTTTTTGTGTTAGGATTCTCGCACTAAATCAATATTATCTTATCATATGATTAAATAATAAATAATGAGAAAGATAAATATTAAGTAATAATGATCAAACCTCTCTTATCTAAAGAGCAGATGTAATGATGATGTTAGTTTCCTTTTTAATAAACTTTAGTAGTACTCTTCATGTTCACTTTTACTTGTTCATAATGGACTTTGTACTCCTTTAAAAATAATAAATAAAATACATATTTTATTATAATATCCGTTGTAATAATAGTATTTTAAAAGGTCTTCAGAAATTTAGAGAATAAATCGTTAATGATAAAAGATAAAAAAAAATATGTCTTTCTTTTGATTTGCGAAAATGGAAAGTAAAAGTTAATTTTGAAGCCAAAAAAAAAAAGAAAAAAAAGAGTTGTCACTGGAGGCCTTCCAAATTTGTGATTTCGAAATCGATGCCATCTTTTCATTTCTTAGGCAATGTGGGACTGACACCTGTCAGAAGACCCATATCAGTATTTATGTGACTAATAATACAAGTTGAACCGCTGCACCAGAAGCTACAGCCACATGGCTTTCAATTTATGATTTTGGCACGTACCTCCATTTTATGTTGTGAGGAGTAGGGATGCTTATTGGACGGATCGGTCGGATAATTAGGTTTAATGGTTTGACTTATCGATTATCAGATTATAAATATAGTAATCCGCTAGCCATAATAAGAAAACAGACGGTTTGGTATCAGATTGATAATTATCGGGCGGTTTATCGGCTAAACCAAATAGAAAATTTTTGAACAATCAATACCAAACGGCCAAATGCATAGTTCAAGCTGTCTCTGTTAGTTGTAGTAGCTTTCCTGGTTAGAAGCCAAAGACGATTGCCAATGCCTTTGGCTACAATTAGACGACAGTTCTATTGAGAATTAGAAATTAGAGATTTAGCCATTTAGGTTTTAATAGTACTTTATATACATAGGGCTAATATTTTATTCTTAACGGGTAAGAAAATTGAGTAATCCGCCCCCAAACCGTTAAGCCGTTAATTATAAAATCTCAATCCGTTCGCCATCCATTACTCCGATAATCTGATACCAATAAGCCAATAAGCCATCGGTTCGATTCGGTTAACGCTTTCCGTTCGGTTTTGAACAACCCTAGTGAGGAGGAGCGAAAATAGAAGTATTATTTTGTTCAAATAGCATATATATATATATATATATATATATATATATATATATATATATATATATATATGTTAAAGATTTTATTAAATATATACACATTAACAATTTAAATGCTGATATTATTATTTGAAATCGTCATTTTAAAAATCAGAACCCAAGAACCCATAAAGTTAAAATTCTAACTTCAATACCGTTTTTATTCTATTTGACACCCGTTACGTCGTTTTGATGCTTTAATCTAGAAGGAGAATCTCCCGACGTCTCAACAACAGCAGCAACATGTGTGTCTCTCTGCCAAATGCCATAACGTAAGTTGTGATGAAATTGGAAACAAAACCTAATCTGTTTTGAATCTAACTCAATCTCAAACGTTAATTAAAAGAGATATGTTCAGTTAATGTGGGATTCTAATATTTTCCGTCTGACACCCTAGGTGAATTACACATCGACAAAATACGGGAGAGATGCTAGTGACGTATTTTAAACAGGTCTTAGACCCTAGTGACGTGTTTTAAAGCTGTGCGGGCCTAGGCCCAAAACGGACAATATCATTTGTGGGCGGGACTGTTAAATATGGGAGAAATTCAAAAATAGCCAGATTTACCACTGGTCGTTGAAAAATAGCCAAGTTTCAAAAGTCATCGAAATTTAGCCACTTTAAATCTGAGCGAAAACACTGTTCAAAATCCGGAAAAATACGCCCGCAAATTTTACGGGAGTTCCACCATAAGTATGCTTGAACTCGCGTAAATTTTACGGGAGTTCCAGGATAACTATGCTGGAACTCCCGCAAATTTTACGGGAGTTCAAGCATAATTATGCTGGAACTCCCGCAAATTTTACGGGAGTTCCAGCAAGTATAATTGTCCAGTATAATATACTGGAGTTTGGAGCACTGGTGCTCCAGTCTCCCGCAAATTTTACAGGAGTTAGCAAAGTATACCGGTCCAGCATAATATGCTGGATTTCGTACACAAATGCACCAGAACTCCCGTATATTATACTGGACCGGTCCCTGTTGCAGCAAAATAGTGGCTATTTTTCATTGACTTGATAAACTCTGGCTATTTTTCATTGACCAGTGTGAAAACTGGCTATACCATGATATTTTAACTTAAATATGGTATCAGAGTCACTTCGCATATAACCTTGAACGGTAGTGGGGCAAAGTAAACAGGCCTTAGATCCTAGTGACGCGTTTTAAAGTTGTGCAAGCCCAAAGCGAACGGTATCACTAGTAGACTGGTCTGTTAGACCCTGTTGCTCGAAAATGAACATTCGTAGCGTGAACAAAAAATAAAATAAAGCTTCATATTTGATAACTCAACATAAGGAGTGATTCTGGCTCTACTACCCTCTTAAGAGTATCATAAGCTCAAATTAATTCCAGCGACGAGTTCATGAATTGAGAATTGTCTAAATTTATATGAAGATGACTACAATCTATAACCTAACTAACGTGAGACTACAACATGATCTTTGTTTTGCTAAACGAATAGTACCATTGTTTTTAGTTTATTATAATAGATTATGGGTGTCAAATGAACGAGTTAGGCTGATGGGCGAGTCAGATTGTGTTGAGTCAATAAATGGGCGCATCATAAATTTTGGGCGAGTCAAAATGTACTGTCAATAAATGGGTGAGTCATGTCCAAAAGTTACTTGGGCTGAAATGAGTCGGGTCAAAATGGGCTAAAATGTGGGTCATAGTCAATCCATCCAACTCTTACCAAGCTTTAATTAATGTGTGTTATTTGCTTATGAATTATTTAATTATCAAATAAGACTTTTTTCATTTGTTATGGTCATATATATATATAACATATAAAACAAAAAAGAATTATTTTAAAGATATTTAAGCAAAGTTAGTCATGGATCAATTTGGAATAAAAATCAGTTCAACTTTATATGAGCTGAGATGGGATGGGTCGAGAGCGGCCCAACCTTGGGTTTAGAGCAGTTAATTACCTTTTTTTTGCAATAGATTTGACCTTAAATTACCACCCCTACAATAGATTTTAAAGTAGTAAACCTATCAAAAAACTTGCTACATGAGTTTAGAATAGTTAATTACCTAGTTTTGTTTTTGCAATTAAATACAAGGCTATAATTAGTAACTTTGATGCTAGAGCTCTTTTTTTATTCTGGGTTAAATGTCAGGAGTATTAATGCGGAGTAAAGTTACTCATTATTGGACAACCAAACAACTGCTGGTGCTGGCATTGGAATATGATATATAGAAAGAAGTTTTTCTCACTTTCCGAGGTCAAAAATCCTTTAGGTATTCGAAAATAAAAACATATGAGAATTAAAAGCCACCAACTTCCAACTTAATATCCACTATTCGATGAAGACGAGAATGGCTTTAATGAGAAATTCTAATAAATGCTAGATAGACAAACGACTTCACTTTTCAAAAAAATCTTTTTTTTCCCCTTATAAATAAAATAATTAGAACGTCTCACATTCTAGTTCTAGAAACTTATGTATGTCTAGTTAACCAACCTTGTGTTAAATGTGTTGGGATCTCAAGCAAAACTGATATGCTTCTTTGGTTAAACATCTGCTTGAAATCTTTGATAGGTAGGGCGCCTGTGGTTTCATATTTGGATTAATTTCTGGAAGCGAAAATAAAGTTTAGGACATGAAAATGCCATAAAAAGGAGGAAAATTGAGCTTCTAATTCAGTATATTTTCTTCAAAGATGATAGCATGCCACAAAAAAGAAGCCAAAGATTTTCTTGATACATCATTACATCCTACGGACATACAAGCATGAAATAGATAATTAGCGCACCACAATCAAGAGTACTGATAGAACGATAAACTCTTGTCATCAGAGACACTTGCAAGCATACAAGACCGAACATCAGTCCTTGATGTTGGTCCAAAAGCCACAGCCCAAACCTGATCTGTATGGTTGGTCAAAGTCTGTGTAGCCGCTCTCATTTTAAGATCCCACAGCCTAACCGTCTTGTCACTTGATCCTGTTGCAATTGCTGCCCCGTCTGGGGAGACATCAACACTCAGAACCCAACTTGAATGACCCGACAAAGATGTTAGCAAGGTTTTACCCTCAGCATCATATACATGTACATGACCATCATCTGATGCTGAGAAGAGTATCCTTGAATCATGAAGCGAAGGTGAAAACACGAGAGATCGCACAGGCATGCTATGGCCTTCTAAGAAGTGAAGGAATTTGGCACGTGCTACGTCGAAAACAGAGATAGTCCCGTCAACTGAACCACAAGCAAGAAGTCTACCATCAGGATTCCATGCAACTGAAAGGACAAATTTCTTGTTGCTGCTTTTCTCAGATGGTTGTGGGGCGGCTCCTTGACGAGGAATTGACAATGTGGTAATAAGTTGCCACTGAGTAGTATCCCATAGCTTGACCGATGAACTACCACCACCAGCTGCTGCCAGAGTGCTACCCTGGAAAGTGTGAGAACCATAAGGGGGCGACCTAAAACTTTCCATAAAGATGTGTGCAGGAAATTTAAATTCTAGAAAGGAGGCATTGCTTTATCACAAACCTTGAATACCATAAGACAATGGATCAAGTAACATACATACTGGCAGAAGCAAGTCGTGATGTATGATGAGACAGGTGTCAAAATCAAACAAGATGATACATGTGGGAATGACAGGGAAACATCTAAATGCTCCATTTAACTCTTATAAAGGAAAGAATCACAATTACTGAAGACCATGTAGAACATAATCAAACAGAATTTCTTATTCTTTTTATTCTGTTTTTGATAGGTCAATTGACCCAAACTTGCTTAGGACTCAAACGTAGTTAAACTGATTTGATAGGTCAATCAAACAAAGTTCCTCATTTTTTGTCTCAATCCAATAATATAAGCAGATCCCAGCTATTTCAGTATCAGTAAGTTACCCACTTCTCTGTTGCCATTGCGATTCCAACCTCTTACGTCCAATTACATGAACAAACCTCAAAGGTAAGTATGAGGAGAGCACCAAACTGCAAAGCATATTTACAACAAAGACAGCACGAAGTACTGGTTGACACAGAGTGTGTTCTTAATAATATTCACCACTTCGTCAAATAGGTTAGCTGTTTCCATCAACATCTCAAGAGCTAGATCTTCATTACTCCTCACAATCAGGAATCAGTCAAGAAGAATTTAGGGATCCAGATCCTTCTACTTAGTATGGATCTTATGGCCTTCTAACAACAGCAAGACATTCCAAAGAGCCATTTAAATTAATTTTTTGAGGGGTCTACGCATTGAAATCTATGAGGAGTTTTGGCACCACAGGTCATCAGCTAAACTAGTAAAAGCCGTTATTACATTTCAAAAACATGAAAATAGGGGACCCCATATCGTTACACCGATTTAAAGTATTGAGCTAGATATACCACGGCTGACATTTACATCGAGCTCCTAATGGGAGTTTAATATAGCGATGCAATTTACAAGCATAATTCCCAAACCTTAATATCAACTCCTAGGACAAACATTAACAGTTCACTTAGCACTAGAAGAATAAATTATATTTGTCCAACAGCCAATCAAAAAGATAAGGAAATAGAGAAACTACTAGATAATCGACTACCAGTAAACATCAATCAATTTAATCAGCTAAGCCTCAACTTCAAACTAGTTGGTCGCCTATTTAAATCGTCACTGTCAATTCCGCTTGGTACTGGACCTGACCATATCATTCAAATACAGGTGAATAATCCGTCTCTTAGGACAGATATTTTAGTTTTTTTTTAAACTAAAGGTTCTCTTAGCACTAGCCACAGCACTTTGTTCTAGTGGTAAGAACACAGTTTGTGATGTTTGGCTATTTAAATGGAAAGCTTGAGGATTTCTCAGTTACAAAAAGAGGTCTCTTAGAACTATCATACAAATCTCTAACCAAACCGATTAAAACCTAGTAAAGACTATAACTTTTATGCATAAATGTTGAATGAAAACACAATAAATTTTCTATTCCTCACTTACATTGGGACTAAACTGCAATTGCCAGACTTCGGAAGGAGGAGCTTCGAGAGTAGCAATGGTCTCATTAGTATCAACCTCAAACACTCTAATAAAGCTATCTATAGAAGCCGATGCCGCAATTCTCCGAGTAGGATGAGATGTAACAGATACGACGCCGAGGCAGTGACCGGTGAAAGTTTGAATACAAGTGAGGTTTTTCGGATCCCAGAGCCTCACGGTTTCGTCAAGACCTCCGGTGAGAAGTAGCGCCGGCGATTCCTCCGTCGACGGAATCCATGACGCCGTCCAAATGGAGTCGTCGTGTGCGTTTTGTATACTGTCTAGTGGAGCTAATTTCATGGTGATTTTTGGCTTTTGGTTAAAATGTTAAAACCCTAGGAATTTCGCAAACAGAGAAGGAGACGGTTGAATTTTATGTGTATTTTTTGGCAATTGAACCCTTTATGTTTTGATATTTTCATTTTGTTCTTGGACTTTAATGATAATGTGACATATTTGGTCGTCTAGAAATTTTTGTTGCTTTAATAATGATTTAATTAAGCCTCCTAATATTGTGGCAAAGCCTTTATTTACATTTTAATGAATTTCTTGAATAATGCTTGCTAATTCTTTGAATGGTACTTTACAAGAAAATTATGAGTTTTCGCTATCTATACTCAGTGGCAGATGTACATTGATGGTCATGGGTGCTCAAGCACCCATTACTTTTAGGGTAATGGACTATGATTTATATAAAAAGCTAGTAATTCTTACAAATATATTACTTGAGCACCCGGTCGTAATAGTAATTTTAGATAAATAATATTTCAGCACCCATGACTTAAAATTTTTAGATTCGCCACTGTCTATACTCAAAGATGAGATTTGCTTATTTGTAATTGCAGGACTACATGTTGATACAAAAAAAGCAAATGGTGATTTTGGTGCTATCTCCCTCTTCAATTCCGAGTGAAAAACATGATTGTCGAAGCGCTTGCTGTCAAAAAAGTTATAGAGAAGAAGATCCATAATGACGAAGGAAAATATATATTTTTTCTAATGCGAAAGACGTAATAGACATGTTGAAGAAAAATGCGAAAGCCACTTGTTACTCATGTTATTTTTTATTAGTATCCGTACTCGCGCGTTGCGTGAAAAATGTTAAATATAACATTTCAAAAGAAAATATTATTTGGAAATACGATAGACAGAAAGGAAACACATTAATACATTCAAGTCATATAGAAATAGACTTATCCCTTATAATACATCTAGTGAGAAAATGACCTAGAAGCTTTCTTGTGCAGACCATAGGCAATGGCAGCAACTATAAGCTAAGTAATAATACGCATAACATTCAGCCATAAATTGTAGAAGCGAAAATTAAAAATAGGAAACAAACTAAGCACACTTAGATCTTTAGAACCTTATGAAAAGTGTGAATAGAAATTCTTAAACCGAGTAAAAGCACTCAACTATTACAAAGTTGTACCTTTAGTCTCCTTTCAACCTCATTATCAATAAGAAAATGCAGCAGATCTATGACTATAACATAACTTATAGTACTATATGGTTTCACTTTAAGTCCTCCTTTTTTTCTCCCTCCCTTTTCTCCAAATTTGTAAGCACCGCAGGAATATATTTTAGTCATTGCTGAACTTTGTCCATAAGCAATCAACTGGAAAAAAAGTCATAATTTAAGTTTTGAATTCAGTTATATTTGACCAGTTTTGCAATCCACTATTAGTCAACATTTTCGAAAGCCAGCTTTTTATTGGCCACAAGTAATAATAGTGCCTCAATCCCAACTAAACCAAACGTAGTGCATTAAAAATAATTAGAAAACTTCTGAGGAAACATCTCACCTTTCCAAGAGAAAGAAATAAAAATGTATAAGGCTCTATATCATGGTCATCAATAAAGATTTTTTTATATCAGTAACACATGAATTCTTCAGCTTCTTGGTTTCTTTTAAAACCTTAATTTATCAAGCTATATGATATTAGAGTATTATGGAAGATATGGAAGCCAACTTTTACTAACCTTCTCAACATATGCTGAGAGAAGGTGGTGTAAAAGAACATGTTGTGCCCTTTGTAGATGAGTATATTTCAGGAACTATGACATCCTTGTTCTTCAAGGTAGTCTAACCAATGTTGTATGCAGGTTATGTGGCAACAAAGATGTATGCATAATAACGTTTGAAGTTTGAATACCTTGCAAATTAAAGTATGGGCTAGCAACACACAATTCTTGCTCATATACAGCAAATAATCATAAATTTTCAATCAAACTATAAAAGATGGTCATCCTTTACTAAAAGTAAGAAAGGTTGTTGAACAAAATTACCACTTTAATCAATAAAGTTAAAAAGGCTGACGAATTTAATAAGCTTTTTGACTCTATTGTATATTATCTTATCATAAAAGGCAACTTGGCTGAAACAAATAAAATTTTCAACAGGTTGGGCAATAGCCCTTAAACAAGTTTTTCTGGGGAACATTGGACACTAAATTATCCGATCCTTCACTACTCACATTGCTTTGCATCTCCTCACTTTGTACTTTCTTCTGCATCCCAAAAAATTACAATTAATGGTTAACTTTCTTTGTTCAAAAATGTAAGATATTCAGTTTTCATAAATATTGACTGCACTGGAATATGAAGATAAAGTGATAAGATATCATAATCAACTGATTTTTGACATTCAAACTTAACTTGGAATGTGTAAAGACTCTATTAAATAGAGGACGGGAAGAAAAGCCAAATTATTTGTAGTTGTATTGGAGCGCTGCATCTAATCTGCATAAGTCAAAAACTTTATGTTTTAAATAATAATATTATATTTTTAGTACATATAAATAAGAATTATACCCTTGACAAACCTGGATTTAAACTCGATAATTGTGGAAAAACAGGATTTATCCTTATTTTTGAAGCATACCAACAACTACGCACTAAGTAATTACCTATGAATAAAATAAAAAATTATAAATTAAAAACTATAAATTATGTTGAAACTGGTTTTTAAATATAAATGTAACTATTGGAAAACCTCGAAATTTTTGAGCTCTCATAAGTTGAAGAACAATAATCAAAGGATCAGTCGTAGATGCTTCAAGTGAGGTTGAATTCGATCCACAAGTTCACTCCATAAGGTTGTCGAAATCATGTTCCTCCTATATGTTTCATGGATAAACCACAATAAAAAATAGTTAGTTTTACTACAAAGTATTATTTCTATTTGTGAATGACTTACTGATCATCTTCAAGTTCAATATTCATAAAGACACTTTTGTTGTCTCCTTGATTGAAGGTCTGAACAGCTTCATAGGTCAAAACCTGACCAACGACATCTACAAATATAAAAGTTAATCACAGAATTTTAATATACGTAGTATTAAAATTAAATGGAAAAGAAGAATTACCAGATAATTCTGCCTCATCGACATCATATTAATTTGAGAATTGGTCAAAAGAACGCAAGTTAAAGATGTCCATATGAAATATAGTATCAGTAGTTTCGTCAACTATCTGCGAAAATGTCAGCCTCAACTTGTGTGTTGTAGTCTTTAATTTCAAATTATTTGGTCCGACAAAAAAGTAGGTCATGCGATATAAGCCGACTTCCTGTATCTTATTCCTAAAGAACTTAATAACATACTTCCCGATTGAGGCATGTATACGATCACCCTAGAAATTCATATTAATTATTAGGATGTATTAGATTGGTATAAATTGTTAATGCTGGAAATTAGTAAATAATTTTCAACAAACATTGTAAAGTTTTTAGGCAGAATGTGCATATTTTTAGAATTTGCAATAGCTATAGAGATTAAACAATTGTCAACAAACAGTGTAACTTCCTTTGGCATAATATATGCATATTGTTAGAATTTGCAGCAGTTTCAGGAGGAACATCATATTTTGGTTCTCGGATGAATTATATAAGATGTAATATATTATTAATAATTTATTTTTGCTGGAAATAAGTAAGCAATTATCAATCAGATGTTCACAAACAGAAATAGAAATAAGACTATACCGCATAATCACTTCAAGCAGGTAGTTTCATCTTTTTGAGGATTGCTGGAAACTAATAAACAATTGCATATTGAAAAATTTACGAACCATAGCAGCAGAGAAGAGGAAGAAAAAAGTTAAAGCAATTATAAATATGTTACCTTTGCATCTTGCAATATCAACTCTATCAAATAAGGTATTTCAGGCTTGTAGCGATCCGGAATTTTTCACATTCAAACTACTCTAACTTTTAAATTCCATTGCATGGAGTTGCTTGAAATTTATCTGATGTCATGAAATTTTGTAGTCATATTTGTAAAGTTCGTATTTTGACCAAAGCAAAAAGGGAATGGAAAAGGAATTAAAACGAGCCGTAGATAGAAGATAGAAGATTTGACGACAACTGTTTCTGAAAGGTGGCCATTTTCAAATTTAGAAACTATTTAATTCTAATATTTTTGTTTTGCCATTATGGCATATTCTTATTGAAATTTGTACGATGTCGAAGATCGCAAAATAGTAAAAGTATTTTTGGGATGACACATTTAGCATTATGTCAATAGTCTTTCTTTTGAAATGTCCAAGAACTGAATAGCAATTCACCCATGGAATTGTTACTAACTTACATCTTTCAGGTATATATCAGCGTAAAAAATGGAGTCATCCCAATATGGGCAATATTGACAGACCAAAGATTTACATACCCATTATGTGCTTACATTGTGCACCGGAACAACGAAATTTGAACCTGCTCGGTGTACGCCTCGGCAACACATTGAGGTGTAGTTAGTTGTCTTACATGAGACGCTCATAAGATAGTAATAACTTGATTGCAAGCTTACCAAACCTGGCTAATAGTTGCAATACCACCAAACGAATACTTTTTCTTGGCACTTGTTGAAGTACTTGGAAGTTGGAACCACAGAGCCGTAGCGAAAGCGAGTCTTCATAGGACTCGAACCAATAGATACATCTACTAATAAGATGACCAAAAGGCGATTGAGAAAGGAAGGAGGTAAGCTTGTTTTATATCTCCTCAATAAAGGACTATTACACACCATTTCTTTATCTTAAATGATAGGTTACAAGTACCTTGTTTTATGTTTTGAGGATCTAACAAACTTACTGTCAAGAACCAGATAAGGAACCTGTTACATATTCTCAAGACCTTAAGATCAAAAGGTTCCAGGTTGGGATATGCTTTAACTCTTCAGAGTCAGAGGAACAACAGAGGGAACAGATAGCTACCGTTTCCCGAGGAAACTGCACAAGTCAACTGCCCCAGCTGTAAAGTTGCTGTCTACATACGCTACAGTGCAGAAACAGTGCAACAGTCAACTTTATGGGGAGTGTCTTTTACCTACCTTGCTTACATCATCCCAAGTGATGTCACAAATGTATTACTAACACCAAGGAAGGTAAAACAAA